AATGATTATAAACTCAATCTAAGCTTTTCAGAATTGAAATGAAGTATAATTTCCTCTCCCTTAATTATAGGAAAACAACTTTTTCAACCCCTGCAACCTCACGAATTGAAAAAAAAAATCTATAGTTAACATTGCTAACTTGCAATTCTTATCATAATTATCATGCTCCCACTAACATGATGATTATTAACACAACACTTATGCTCCCACTAGCTTTAACATGTATCCAGAAAACAAATGGACCTCTAAAAGTCAATACTTTATTGACATTCTTAACAAAGTTCATATTTCTGATACTAGACTGCTTTAATAAGGCTTTATCAAAATTATACACTTTATCTTAGATAGCTCACAGGTGTGTCTAAACAATTTCGGAACTATGAAAAAGGATGCCATAATCATAGTCTCAATTCTTTAGACCTTTTTCTATTTCTCATAAGTCAATGTTAGTGTGTCGGTTAACCACGCACGCTCCACTAACGACTTTGAGAACTGCAAATATCACAATTTCTATCTACTTAAAATCTACTTAGTGAAAGAGTTTCCTTACCATCATTTTCATGAATCGAAGAGAAACCTTATGACACTTAGATTTTATGGTATATATGTTCTTATCCACGTGAATTTGTCAAGCCATAATCACAAGACTAGGTTAGTGACAAATCCTAACTCATATGGATTGAGCTTGTGAAATCTTAACTTCTTGCCACCTGGCAGCTCAAGGGCCTGCCATTGCTTCCAAGTAGCTATGCAAGCAGTTGAGAACATGCAGAACTTAAATATATAGCAAACTTAACTGGAATGGGCACAAAAATGTCAACATGATAAGTTATAAACCTCTACTTGTGTGCTAGTGATGAAATACAAGTTTTATTCTTGACTACTTCTTGAGACCCTTTCAGGATCTTTTAGACTCCCACTGTCTCCTTGACCTATAAGACTTTCTTTCCATATATTCAAGAGATAGTGTGGATTCTAATCAAGACAAACACTTAACACTATTGGCCTTAGTTGGTCTTTGTTTTATCCAAAATATCACAAATTACCAATTTAAAATTTACAAGAGTAGAAAACTTTTACTCTTACATTTGACAAGTGTTTTAAACCTTATTTAAGACATGTCACTCAAGTTACAATCTTAGAGTATAACTCTAAGAATTTTTTTTGGAATGAAGTATGAATCATCTTCTTGATTTAACCACTTCAACAATTCAAAACTCCTCTTCTTAACTATCAGAATTCACTTAGAGGATGAATTGTGATAAGTTCTCAAAATCATTAAGATGATCTTAAAACATAATACTAAAGTACTCTTCCATCTTTTCAGATTTGAGAAACTTTTATTCTTCTGCCTAATTTGATTATTCTTATTCGTTCTGTCATACATTGAAACTTTTCCAATGTCTCATAACTATACTTACACTTGTAAGTGTAATCATATTTACTAAACCTTAGTAAATCATGATGAATAGTCTTATCCATGTTTTGTAGTGGACTTTGAAAAGTGCACAAGAAAGTATACTTGATCCCTTAGTGCTTCTCTTCAGTCACATATACATGTGAACCCGGAACTAGTCTTAATTTTCCAAAGTCGAAAATTCTCATACATCACACTAAACAACATGTATGATTCCAAGTTTCGGTCCAATTGAAACTTGGGTGATGAGAATCTTTCCTTACTTGTTAAATTTAGACACTACCACAAATGAAAGAAGCAAGTTTATTTTTCCAATGTTGCTAGAAACATACAAACATCAAGTTTTCATAAATGCCATTGTAAGGAAATATAAAATAAAGTAAAAAAAATTTTTATTTATTTATCAAAATGCGGAAAAACTTTTCCCATACAATGCAACTTTAAATGAAAACAATGCTATTACATGTTTCCTAGCAATCTATCATAACTCATAAGAGTAGCTCAAAAATCTGATCTTCAATCAAGTGATAGAAATCCATCTTCGCGATCAGATTCAGCATACTCTATCTTTAAGTTTCCTTCACTTTTCCTTTGATTCTTAAAACATAAACATGTGACACAGTCACATCATTTAATAAGTATATCATAACACAAACTTAATCGAGTTAGATAGTGGACTTTACCTGAAGTAGAGTCAAACTTATTGACTTTACCAACCTTACGATCTTTCAGGTAAATTTGGTAGCTTCGCAACCACTGCTCTTTCCTTTTAGCACATTAACATACGAACCCTTTGGTACATGGAATTATCACATACTTAGTTTTTTCTCTTTACCATTTGGTCAACTGAGTTGACTATGGTCGATCCCTTTCCATTGGCAAGAGAATGCTTTTTCTGGATTTCCAGTGTCTTCATTGTCAATGTCCATAAAGTTTTGGGAAGTTGATCTTCTAATCAAATTTGCTTTACTAGCCTTCCAAATCATTGCTGATTTAGCAGCACCAAGCAAATAGATAAGATCATTATGGGTCTTGTCATAGTCTGTTTCATAGGAATCCCAAAAGAACTCACTATGTGACTTAGAAAGTGATTGAACCACGAACTTTCTCAAGACTTTGACAACCAACTCTCCCGACTTGTAAATATGTGACTTCATCTCCAAGATATGATCACACCTATACCTTGCATTGACAATAGGGCTTGAGTGACCTTGAACTTCTGGGTAACGGAGAATCATTGGAGGAGGTGGAGGAGGTGAAGTTCCAAGAGGTTTGGGAAGATCATAGATGTATGAACTAGACATATTTTGGGAGATATTCAAGATAGTTGATTTAAAGTCCTTAATATAACACCCAATATGAAATATTAAGGCTAGGACCCAACACAATATTTTATAACTTGGAAGAGGGATGTCATAATACAAGCTATAGAATATTTGAAGGTAGGTCAATGACGATTCACCAATTTCCACCATGAAAAACGTAATAAATTATTAGGTTTTTATTGGATTTGAAACTCCTAGATCTTTTGAGATTCATTGAACTGTTCAATGGCATGTTTCAATCTCGAATGTGCCCTTCAGGTTTTGTGACTGGGATGTCGAGGATCACAACACAAGGTGTGAAGTAACCATGCAAATTACTTGGTACCCTTAAGCGTTTACCCCTCAATCGATGTGTCGGTCAACCACACACACTCCATCGATACTATGATAAACATTAAGTTAACCTTTGCCTACCATGTTAAATACGAGTTAGTGTGCCGGTTAACCACACACACTCCACTAACCGACTTAAACAAAGTGCAAAGTGTAATTTCATGGATTAGCACCTTATTCACATTTTCCTAAGTAACTAATATTGGGTATTTATAAACGGTTTAATTACTTAGTATTTATCATTAATACTTTTAATGAAGGGAGAATTTATAGTCTTTCTCCTACCCGTTCGACTAACGACCCTCTACCGGTCAAGGAAGCGGTGGGTGAGAGTGGACACCCATTAAACTACCATTTTATAGGCAGTAACCTTATTACCCCCCCCCCCTTATAGAATGGCTTCATGAATGAGGCATACTAATGGTAAGACTGACTTGCTCTTATACATACATACAAACATACATACATACATATATATATATATATATATATATATATATATATATTAACTTATAATATTATAAAGTATAAGGGTTGAATTTTTAACTTTTAAAAATCTAAGGGCTTAACTTGGAATTAAAGTATTCATAAGTGAAAACTTTTCAAATTCCAAAACTTGAGGGCAAGTTTTGAACCTATTCAAAACTGATAAATTCCATAACTTATGTGTTAAAATTAGTTTTAATTAAAAGACTCTTTAATTTCCATAACTTGAGGACAAGTTATGGAAGACTTTAAACTATTAAAAGAATGTAACTTTTCTTTATTTTGTAACTTATGAAATTAATTAAGGTTACACATTTTATTACTTAATGAAGTGACTCTTGAACCTCCATAACTTGAGGACAAGACTCTTCAATTTTTCTAACCATTGCCAACTTTTATGAGTTTTATGAAACATAAATGTGACCTTTCATGTAACTTGAGGACATGTTACACAAACACATTTTAGAATCATCTCTTAGATTAAAATGGATTAAAAACACATAATTAATTAACTTGTCTATTAATTTAAGCAACTCATATGAACAAAGATAATACACATCAAACTTTTTTATGTAATTAGCATAACTTTTAAACTAATACAAAACATGAATCAATTGACAGTTATCTTTCAAATTGGATTAACATGAACATTACCACATCAAAAACAAATTTATAAGTCCAAAAACATCTTAGGGTAATGTTCCTAGTCCATATCCAGCGAAAAAACTTGAATATATGCTGTCTGGGAGTCCAACTTGCCGAGTGCATGAACAAAGTCGGCGAGTTGGATGCATTTTGCCTTGGACTCATCGATTCCCTTTATGGATTCAGCAAGTCTGTTGTGCAGACAGCACCAAAATTCAATTTTTTTAGCAGTTTTTGCAAGTGTAACAAGAAAACAAGCCTAGGCTCTGATGCCACTATTGGGTTTTATGCTAGTTATGTACACTCCTATGGTGTACATACAACCCTATAAACCTTGGATCTATGTTTTCTCTATTATACATGCAAATAAGAACTTTCCAAGGCTTTAATCCTAACTAGCATAATATGAGGCAACTATACTACAAAGACTAGTTAGATGACATACCTTTTGTGTAGCTTGATGTCTTCCATCTTTAAGAGCCTCAAGTGGAATTACAAATCACCAAAACACCTTAAAAGACTTTGAGAATAAGAATACTTTGGTTCTCTCTAGTGAAACCGGCTAGCCCTCATAGTGTACCCACACTAGTGCCAATTTCACCAACCAAGGACATCTTTATATAGTGTGGAGACTAGGGTTAAACCAATAACCTTTCATTTCATATCATCCATGGGTTAAACACTCCATGGACTATCCATGAAAGCTTAGCCCAACCTAAATGAACTTAACCCATTCCATATATATAAGAGTCCATATTTATTTAGTTCATTTTGATCACTTAATTAATTCTAAATTAAGTCTTGATCAATACTAATTAAATAATATGATTCGATATTAATATATTATAACTTATAATATATTAATATAAATCATAAATATACTATTCTCAAAAGACTATCCATATAAAATGTGTCGGTGAAGTGCAATGGACCATGTCGGGTTGGGTCAAGTACATACCAAATATAGTTATGGACTTAGACATTAATCCAACATGAGCTTCCTTATCTGCCCTTTCTTTTTCCTTAGCTTCCTTGACGATTCGTTGCGTTTCATTCAATTCAATATCACAAGGCTTCTGCCTTTTAAGTTCAGCTTCATCAGGCCCTTCGTCTTCATCATCATCAATTATGGTCTCGTCTTCGATCAACTTTTCCTTGCCCTTAGGTTCTTTCTTGATAATAGGCTTGACATGGACTTTGCAAGCTTTAACATTGGATACACTTTCTCCCCCTTGTTTCAGATCAGACGATTGAGGAGAAACACCCTGCAAACGTTACAACATGGCGAAGATAGGGATCAACTTTTCAGCCAAGTACTTGCGAACAATAATAGAAATCATTGAGTCCATGGTCTCAATGATATCTGAGAGCAAAGCAGTGACGTCCGTAATGCAGCTTCGCACAACTGCTCTCTCAGATAGAAAATCCTTGACCTATTTCTCAGACTATTGAATCTTGAGATCTAACACTTTGACCTTCTCTGTCTTTCTGCCCAGAGCATCCATAAATTTACTTTCCATCACCAAATCATCCTAAAGCTTTGTAATATGCGAAGAGAGGGTTGTTTGAAACGATGCATAGTCTTGTTGCAAGCTTGTGCGAATCTTCTAAAATTTGACCTTCTCAGTTTTGAACATGGCAGCCAAGTTCTGAAAGGCTTCACTCACGGATGTGGTGTTATTGTTGTAGGTTGTTATGTAATTTTCCATGAAGTTTGTTGTTTCAGCAATTAGTTTATCGACTTTTTTGGTTGTAGACTTGCAAACATCAGCAGACTTTGATACTGATACGTTTATCTTTGCAACATTCGCATCATGTTCTTTCATTATGCGCTCAAACAATGACGCAACTGTTGCTTTTGAATAGGCGGTAGAGGAGTAAGCCTTGGAGGCAAGATGCAGTTGCTCAAGTTTTTCATGAATCGCTTTAAGGTGCCCTTTAGAAACTATGGCTTCATCTTAACTTTTAGTCCTGATCTAAAATGGACTATAATTGAATCCGCCAAGATTTTCATCATCACCATCATCTCCAAAGATCATAACTGGATCATGATTGCGAATGGGAGAGATGGATGAAGAAACATAGGTAGAGAAGAATGAAGTTATAGCCACTATATCAGGTATGTTGACCGTGACTTAAGGGTTTGTTGAAGTGATCGTTGTTGTGGTTGAATCAATTAAGATTGGTGTGGAGATATGAATAGTTGTAGGTTGAGATGAGGTAATAGGAGGGGGATAAGGAGAAATTGTGATAGGAGTTGAGTTTGTGTTTAGTGAAGGAGGAGGAGAAGAAACAGAGTCATTAATAGTTTTGTTTACCTCCGGGTTTGTAGTCTCCACTTAATTGCAAACTGGGGGCTCTTAGTTCATAGTCGGTTCCTCATTACAAAAAGTCTCTTCCTCCTCATTACAAACTGATTGATTTTCTTCAATACGGACATTTGATTCAGTCTCAGAATTTGACCCTTCACTTGCTGATGGTGTAGCTGTTTTTCGTTTGTGAGCAGGTTGTTTTCTTCTTTTTGGAGTAGAAGTAGAAGATGCTTCTGGTGCCTTTCGCTTTTTAGGAGAAGGTTTTGTAGCACCTGATGGACCTTCTTTCACAGCAGTCCTCTTTTCACCTTTCTTAGATCCCTCGCCTCCTTTATTTGGTTTATCAGCAGCATCAATACTTGCTTGCATTTCTGGAGTTAGTGGACAAAATCCTGAAGTTGTTAGCTTACGAAACCCTTCCAAAATCTTGCTTGATGCAGGAATATCCTGAAACATGACCTATGGAATAGAACCAATGAAGGAGAATTTTGAGGCATCAACAACGATTATCTCCGTTGTATGAAAAGTTCCAACTGAGAAAGCGAGAGCATCCTTCATTGTTGGGATTTTGTGCTTAACAATAGCTCTGCAAACACTCAGCGACCAGAATCTTGAACAAGAAATTTCGGTGTGGTGAGTTGTTGAGATAGTTCTTTGAATCACCTGAGCCCAGAGAACGGATCCAAAGTTGATATTCATTCCTGTGTAGAGACCATAAATAAGAGTCATAAACAACTTACTGGCACAGTTTGACCCTGTGATTCTTTCTGAAAACCCTTTGAACAGAATAGTAGATAGAGCATTCCATTGAGGAGGTAAATTAGGTTTGCAAAATTTTGAGACCGTGGACAGAGTCTCCTTGTATCCTGTTTGATAAAACATCTCCATGAGAGAAACATTGCATATCATTTCAGGGTTGATCATGTCTTCTGATTGTGGAAGCCCTATAAGAGAGTAGAATCTAGTTTTTATGATAGATGCTTTCTGATCATGGATGTTGAAGATAATCTTATTCTCCTCCTTGATTTAGCTTGCAGAAGAATACGCCTTAGAAAGAAGGGTCATTGGAATATCCTCCATTTTTGTTAGAGAATAACCCAATGGCGAGTATTTAAGACACTCGATCATCGACACAAGGTATGGCTCATATTTGCAAGGCTCAATATCTATAATGAGATTCTGATTCGGTTTGATAGCCAGAAGAGTAGATTAGATGGTTTAATCGTGAACTGAAGATGAAGTAGCCATTATCGAAGCTTTGAGGAAGACGATGAATAGTAGAGAGCGTTTTCTTGCTGGATATATTTTTAGAAGATCCTGAAAGTGATGATGAGAGAGGAACCGTCAAAACCTTTATATAGTATTTGATTTGTGAGGGAAATCTAGAGAGATATTGCATCAGGTACTGAAAAATTGCCTGAAAAAGCACGTGTTAACAACTGTAGATGTTAGACATGTGCGTCATGCGGCGGAAAAACAGCTGGCTGTTTCAAATTCTGCACGCGCCCTTTTGAGTTCTTATCCACAGAACTTGCCTCGTCAGCATCTATCTTTCGCAGTTAAATATTCTTTCTCCAACTATTATGAACCTTCGCATGTAGAAAGATTAGGTTAAACTGCGAACCTAAAATAAATTACAAAGAACCACGAATAAGACTTTTAGAAGATCACGAGGATCTCCGTGCAAAAGTACCAAAGATAAAGAAGTAAATCAAGTATATCTTGGAAATTTGTGATGTCTGTACAAAGATATAAATCAGTTAATCCTGGGAAAAGATTTCTTTCTTTGAAGTCAAGAGAGACTAAGAAGTGTCTGTGTGGTTTCCCATTGAAATACGACTAGATATAAGAAACACTGAAAGGCTTCATTTATTTTGGTGCATTGGGTGGCTATCTCTCCAACCAAACAACGAATTTGATATAAGGACGAATTTCAGATGAAGTACTCGTGTGACTAGTGTAGCCAGTTGAACGAGTAGGTTCGAAATTATTTTGGTGACAAGATAAAACTTTGAAATCTCAAAGAAAAATAAAAATGGATCCTTTGGGAAGAAGTGACTTGGTAATAGAACACTTCATAAAGATCATGCAAAAGAAATGAGATTTCTAGGTACAAACCACAAAAGTGACTATCGTTAATTCCATGGTGAAAATCTAGAACTTTTAATTGTTCACCATCAATTCATGTAAGTGTGTTGGATTTCGGTTTCAGTCAGTTCGTGGTGAACGAAGCTAAGATCATGAACACGAATGTTTCATAACCATAAACCTCATTGGTATTGCTGAGAGTCTCAAGGGATACATTTATGAATGTGAAGGCGAATAGAGAAGAATGAAGGTGGTTAAACAACCGCACGTACCTCAGCTAAACTTAAATGACCAAGCAGATAACTCTTAACTCGATGTGAGAAGAGTAAGGTAGCTCATGACTAATGTGAATTTAGTAGCCTAATTGAGAAGAAACGAATGCTAGATTCAATTCATTAAGGCTTCACATAGAGTCGAGTGAGGCTTCAGACAACATGCATCATCATGCTTCTAGGGACACTTAGCTAATACAAAGATTAAAAAAAAAAAAAAAAAGTTTGTACCTGCCCCGTCGCCCTAAATTGTTAGAAATCATGAACATACTCCATGGGTTTTGTATGTCTAATGTTTTTGGTATTTTATGGTATTTGAGTAATAAAAGAAACAAGAAATAAAGGACAAAGAAACTTAATTTTATAATTTTGATTTTCTGAAAAGAAATAAAACAGAAACAAATAGATTATTTTTGGATTTTGTACTTTTCTGAAAAAGATATAAAAACCAGAAAAGGTATATAAGAATGAAATAAAGATAAGCTAAAGAATAGATAAAGTACAAAAGGATATAAGAAACCAAACCATGAATGAACAGTTAACTGCGAACTACTACTTGCGTTTGCACCAATTCACATTGATAATGAAAGTTGTGAATGAACAGTTGTCTGCGAAATAATGCAAGCATTCGCACCAATTAGCAGTTACTTCTTTATTAGTGAGAAAGTGGTTTTGGTACTGATTCAACTTCCATCATTCCTAGCCCTTGAAGAATTGTATTAACGCTTATCTCAGGAAGGCCTTTAAGAATATGTCAGCTAACTGATCAGTGGACCTTACTAAATGTATCTCAACGTTGCCATCTTCCACGTGATCCGTGATGAAGTAATACCTCAGTGCTATATGTTTCGTTTTGGAGTGCTACATTGGGTTGTGACAAATGAGAATTTCACGTTCAGAGTCACAATAAAGAGGGATTCATTTCATACTCAAGCCATAATCATGAAGCTGACTTTTAATCCAAATGACTTGAGATATGCACAAAGATGCATCTATGTATTCTGCCTCAGCTGTTGATAGTGATACAGATGTTTCTTTCTTGGATTGCCAACTAACCAATTTACCATCAAGAAATTGGCATCCACCAGTCGTGCTTTTTTTATCTAAGCCACATCCACCAAGATCAGCATCCGAAAAGGCTTGAACTAAGAAGTCTAAGTTCGCAGGATACCATCTGCTTAGGGAAGAAGTTCATTTTAGATATCTGAAAATATTCTTCACTGCCACCATGTGAGGTTCGCGAGGGTTAGCTTGGAACCTTGCACAATAACAAACGAAAAACATGATGTCTAGTCTACTAGCTGTAAGATACATCAGGGAACTAATCATCTGATGATAAAGGGTCATATATGCAGCTGGTTTTTCCAGAGATGGTGTGAGTTTTGTTCTGAATGCCATTGAACCTTCACTTTAGAGTCTCCTATCATCCCAAAATTAGAGAGTAAAGTTTTCGTATATGCTTCTTGATTCATGAAAATACCTTTTGGTGCCTTTTATATATTCAATCCAGGGAAAAAGTTAAGAGGCCCCATTGATCTCATCTCAAACTTAGTTTCCATCAACTTTCGGAATTCAACTGTGAGGCTGGAGTTAGTCGATCCGAAGATGATGTCATCAACATAAATCTGGACAATCATCAAGTGGTCACCCTCTTTCTTATGAAAGAAGGTTGGGTCAACCGAACCTTTTTTAAACTTAGACATTTTCAGTAAATGAGTAACAGCTTCATACTAGGCTCTCAGGGCTTGCTTCAGACCATAGACCTCCTTGTCTAAAATATAGCAGTAATCAGGATACTTCCCATTTATGAAACCATATTTAACGTCCCTCTGAAACACCTCCAAATTCTTATGTGCAACCTATGCCATGAATATACAAATAGATTCCAACCATGCAACAAGCGCAAAGGTTTCTTCGTAGTTGATACCCTCTTTCTGGCAATATCCCTTAACCACAAGTCTCTCCTAGTTCCTTATAACATTGCCTTCTTTGTCCAATTTATCATGAAACATCCATTTCAAACCAACAACTGATGTATCAGGTGGAGTGGAAATTATCCTCCAAACCTTGTTTCGTTCAAACTCATTGAGTTCATCTTGCATCGCTTGCACCCAATTAGAATGATCGAGAGTAGTGTTGATGGTTTTAGGTTCTATTTTTGACACGAATGAATTGAACATACATAATTCCACTTTGGAGAATAAAGCAGTTCATTTCACTTTTATTTGAGATCTCATAAGAACACCTGTAGAAGATTCACCAATGACTTGGGTTTTGAGGTGATCTCTAGTCCATTTGGCTAGTGGAGGATAATTTTTATCATAAGAGGGGTCCAATTCAACATTTACTTCCTCGAACTCTGTTTGAACATCCGAATCATCATTCACATCCTTGTTCTCCCCCTTGAATGATGAGTATCTTCTTCATTAGGATTTGAAGTGTCTCCTTCACTATGTGATGGATTGCTCGTTGCTTCCGTAGTCGGTTGCTCCCCCTGAGGTGGTGCATTAAAGTTCAAATCCTTCCTCTAGACTGGAGTGCTTGTGTCTTAAGGCACGTTCATAGTTGGTGGCTGATTATCCATGAGTTTCACTGCTTCATCGATTATCTTCTTCAATTCATCTTCTTTGTTATCGGCTTCCATTGCTTCATATGTGATTGCCTTCTCAAGTTCGTCAAATAGAAGCATGAATTCTTCATAAAGATTCGCCAAGGGAACAGACACTTGGTTCGTTGAAGGAAAGATCTCTTTTGCTTGACAATCATTCTCTTGAGTATTCTTTAAGTAATTATCATCAAATGTGACATAATAGGTTTCTTCAATACTTTTGGATCTTTTGTTGAGAACCATATATGCTTTTGATGTTAGCAAATATCCAAGAAAAATCCCTTCGTCAGCCTTCTCATCAAACTTGTTTCATTGCTCCTTGGAATTGAAAATAAAACACCTGGAACCGAAATAGTGAAAGAATTTTACGTAAGGTTTTTTTTATTGATGATTTCATAGGTATTAACAGAAAATATTTTATTGATAAGTGATATATTTTGAGTAAAACAGGCAGTGACAACAGCATCATCCCAGAAGTAAAGAGGTAG